TACGTTAGGAAATTAATTTACGTTAGAATATTTAAAATTGGGCATAGGGCTGACAACCCTACTCCGTAAAAAGAAAAACATATCTTGACTCGAAATCTGCCAGTAGGCAGTAGTTGCGCTAATGATAATGATGACGATGAAGTACATTAAATTTAACATGAAGTGCTTTTCAGAATCATTGTTGAGATGACAATGATCTGCACTTTTTTTTCCTTTTATATTTCATTCTCCTGTGGTATAGTATGTGATTTATCTTGTGGTTTAATATGCTAAATGAAGCCTCTTATCTTTCTAGTGGCATATATATATATATATATATGAAACGATGGAGAACTGTTAATTAGACTTCCTACATCTTCAGCGAAGTTATGATGTATATAGTTTTATGTTGAAATAAAACGTTTGTTAATTATATCTATGATATCTAACGTTTGCTATTATGTCTTTATATATATTATACAGCAGACGGCTTTGTCCCACAGTGGGACTGTTGTGCCAATGAAGAAGAAAATAATAACAATAAAAATATTTTACTGTAAAACTTTTTTTGGAATGCACTGGATTTAGAATATATTTTACAATATATATATTTTATTTTACCATGTACATATCCATTCTTTTTATTTTAAAATTCAAGTTTATATAAAGCGCATTTTCACAGGTTTAATGCGAATAATACATTAGAAAATTAACAATTTCTCAAAGTTAAATGATAATTCCTTTAAAAATCTTAAGTAAAAATGTATATAACATATATTGTGTAAGTAGCTATAGTTTTTACTTAAATATATCTGTGATTATTTTTAACCAAAGCTAACAGCACGAATCTATTTAAATACCAGAACTTCGCACCAAATATATGCCTTACTCTGCCCACGTCATGATGAAGTGTCAGAAAATGAGATGTAAATGTCAGTTTCCTCTGGATCGTTTATTTGGTGTGAGGTAGAACAGTGCAGACATAATTAACTAACTTTGTAGTTCACAAAACGGTTAAACTACATAATTGAAAATTTTCGTTGTACGCATAGTTATTTCGTTGTTGCATTGAATGCATAGTTCTTGAACGCTTTATTTCATTATATATATGCATATATATATATAAAAATAATAAATTAATATGTTTTTAGGTTGGTATTTCAAATATAATTATTGGATATTAAAAATTAAACATTGTGATTTTTTTTTTTAATGGAAATTTTCAATGCTGCATGTTCTTCGCTCATTTCAGATAAAGTAACGAATGACCACAAATACCTAAATTATTATTGTTTTTCAATTTTCTGTTATAAATTTTTATAGGAATAGAAGTTTCCGTTATCAGGAGACAAAAAATACATTTTCTCGATCTTGATATTTTTTTAATAACAATCAATCATTCTTTTTAAATAATTTTGCAGATTTTTTTGTATATTTCAGGTTATTTTCATACATGAAATAATCAATCAAAAACTGTAATGAAGCAAGTTTTCATTCTGACAAAATATAACTACATGCAAAAAATGTAATATGCCTTTACATAACATGATTTAACATATTTCATGCAAACAAATATTATAAAGACCAACCGCTTTGGACTGACGTTGTATTTTTACAACATTTTGTGATTCTTTTAAAAATATTTTTTTTTCAATTTTTTCACTTTTATTTCCTTACTTTCATAGAAATTCAAAAATTAAATTTTATTCATTTCCTTCAAGGGAAAAATGAGTAATTATCTTAATTTAGCTTTAGATACTTATAAAAGTCATGCAAACATGAATACGTTTGTGTATAAAATATAGAAACATAAGTAGGAAAATTGTTTTAACATAAAAAGAGGAAACTTTTTATAACTTTTAGTTAATTTATATATTAAGTTATAACAAAAATAATTTTCAGATTAAATCAATTAAAAACCAATTACTGCATGAATATGTATTGTTAGAAATTTATTTTTAGAAATATAAAAACATATATTTAAAACAAAAGGTCTTATTTTTAGTATATCGGAGTAATTATCTCATTAGCGCAGTCAAAATAGTAAATCCATAGAAACATGTACAAATATATGTTGATTCGGACAGTCAAGTTCCAATAAGCAATTGTTGTGTAATTTCAGAGCAAATAAAATGATAATTTTAAAATAATTATATTTTTTTAGAAATTTAAAACAAAAATTACAATGTGTTGATATTGTTCAACTTATGTTTTGTTTAGTATAAAGAAGAAAATTCCTTTTTTATTATTTTTTTCAAGTGTTTCTAATTGTTATATGATTCGTAGAAACGATAGCTTCAGTAGAAAAATTAAAGATTTTTGTTTAGATTTCAACTAAGCAATCGTTTGGCTGTTTCATCATTATCACAAGAACACAACATTTCCTATCTTTTTTTCGGGAACATTTATTTAGATTCGTTTAAAATTAGATTTATTATTTTAATAAAAAATATTACTTATGAATAAAATAATGTATAGAATTTGCTATGTATTAACTTTTCGTTTCAAATTTTGACAAATCGACTGTTTCTACAATGTAAAAATGCCTTGACCACTTACAAATAAATTAATCTATTGAATTTGCTATATGCTTACTTTTCGGATAAGGTTTTGATAAATTAACTATTTCTACAATATAAAAAAATCTTTGACCACTTACGAATAATATAATCTATAGAATTTACTATATATTTGCTTTTCGGTTCAAAATTTGATACGTCGTTTCTGCAACGTAAAAAAATCTTGACCACTCGGAAAAATAGCAATAAATTGTGACCTAATTAAATCACAGTAACATGTTATCTTTAGAAGAAAATATAATATACTAGTATTAAGATATTGCGACTGGTTGAATATTTTTCTTTGTTAAAAACAAAACTTCATTACATCATTTTAAATGTTAAAATATTTTGTTATATTTTGTTTAAATATGATTGGTATTATATGCTTGTTTTTTATTTTGTTTATTTTAATGTGTAATGAATACAACATCAGTACTAAAAATATTCTGTATATGAATATATTAACACAGATTAAAAAGATACTAGAAAAAAAATATATACTAATACGTTTGTACAAAAAACATTGCAAAATTTAAGCTTTTTCAGCAATCGAGGAGATTTGAGGGCGCATTAAAATGCATAGCAAAAATACAAAGAAATGCCCACAAAAGAAATGCCTCGAAACTTTTTTTTCATTGCACTGATAACATAGCTTTCGACGCATAAAAGCTTTCTTTTGTCCTCTTTAGCACGTTTTTATTTTCTGCAGTGTAAGATAAAAAAAAAAAAAAAGATTAAAGAAAAAAATACAGCACTAAAATAAGCAGGAGCATTTCTCGGAGGTTTAAATAATAGGATTTCACCGTGCGCAGGAGATCACAGATGGAAAAAACGGGAAAGATGAGTACATAAAAGCAGAGGGGAAAGTTTTTCGAGAGTTGTAAAAGGACAATGTTAATGTAAAATGAATAGAGTTGCATTCAACGTGCCTGTTTGGTGAAATGAAAACTTTAATAATAGTTTTCGATCTCTTTCGTACTGTAATCGTCATTGTTTTCGTTTGTATACTATTGCTGGATATAAATTTGAATTCAAATATTGGTTTTTAATATTTGTATTATACGTAAAAATACGAGTGGGAAATTTTGGGTTTACATAAGCAATTCTTTGAAATGAAATTCATGAATGTGTAGGTATATATTTCGTACTGTATTCAGGATTATTTTCGTTTCTAAAGTATAATATAAAGTTTACTAATATAACTGTCGAATATAAATTTGATTTTAAATATTGGTATCGTAATATTTGTATTGCACATAAAAATACGAGTAGAGAAATTTTAGTATTATATAAGCAATTATTTAAAAATTAATTTCAAGAATGTATAGGAATATGTTTTGTACTGTAATTGTCATTGTTTTCGTTGTAAAATATTGTTCAACATAAATTTGATTTCAAATATTGGTTTCGTAATACTTGCATTAAAACAATAATTATTTCGTTTGGCTAAATGATTTGTTTTCTCGCTAAAAATAAAATATTGCTACCTTATTTTAAATGTTGAAATATTTGTATAATATGTTGAAATATTATAGTATACACTTGTTTTTTGTTTTGTTTATTTTAGTGTGTAACGAATACAACATGAGTACTAAAAATACTCTGTATATGAATATATTAACACAGATTAAAAACATATTTGAAAAAAAAATATTAAAAAAAATGCACTAATGCGTTTGAATAAAACGGCATTGAAATATTTAAGCTTCCTCAGCAATCAAGGAGATTTGAGGGGGCATTAAAATGCATAACAAAAATACAAAGAAATGCCCTCAAAAGAAATGCCTCGAAACTTTTTTTCATTGCACTGATAACATAGCTTTCGACGCATAAAAGTTTTCCTTTTGTCCTCTTAAGCACGTTTTTATTTTCTGCAGTGTAAGATAAAAAAAAATAATAGATTAAAAAAAAAAATACAGCACTAAAATAAGCCTGAGCTTTCCTCGGAGGTTTAAATAATAGGATTTCACCGTGCGCAGATCACAGATGGAAAAAGGTGAAAGATGAGTATATAAAAGCAAGGGGAAAGTTTTTCGATAGTTGGAAAAGGATAATGTTAATGTAAAATGAATATGTTTGCATTGAACGTGCCTGTTTGGTGAAATGAAAACTTTAGTAATAGTTTTCGGTCTCTTTCATACTGTAATCGTCATTGTTTCCGCTTGTAAATTATGTTGTTGTTGTTGTTTCTTATCCCACTTGGCTGGCCAAGCCCACGAGCCCATACTTACTCATGATTGAAGGGGAAGGAAGCAGCTTCTGTTGTGATGGAGCACCCGTAGGTAGAAGCCTGACTTTTGCTCCGTGACGCTCTTACAGTCATAGGAGACCGGGACCTACGGCAAAAGTGGATTCGAACCACTACAAACATCCATGCACCGCCGGATTCGAACCCGAAACCTGTGGCACCGAGCGCCAGAGCGCTAGACACTCGGCCATTCAGATCCCAAATTTGCCAATGGCACGCGGTGTTCCCAGGTGGTCACCCACCCAAGTACTGACCGTGCCCAATGATGCTTGACTTCGGTGTATAAATCCGAGTTCCTCGGCGATCCCCCCCCCGACGTAAGTTTTTCGGGGGTTTTTAGGGGAAAGTTTTTCGAGAGTTTGAAAAGGACAATGTTAATGTAAAATGAATAGGGTTGCATTGAACGTGCCTGTTTGGTGAAATGAAAACTTTAATAATTGTATTCGGTCTGTTTTTCGTACTGTAATCGTCATTGTTTTCCGTTTGTAAAATATTGTTGAATATAAATTTGGTTTCGTAATGTTGGTATTTCACCTAAAAATACTAGTAGGAAATTTTTGGATTATATGAGTAATTCTTTGAAATGAAATTCAACAATGTATGGGTATATTTTTCGTATTTTAATCGTCATTCTTTTGGTTTCTAAACTATTGCTAAACATAAATTTGATTTCAAATATTGGTTTCGTAATATTTGTGATATCACATAAAAATACGAGTAATTTACATAAGAATATTAAATAACACAAAATAAGTTTATAAAATAAAAATTTATTTTAAGCATTTCTAATAATATTATAAGCAGAAATATATTTTTCTCTTTTTTTATTCTAATAACTAAAATAACAACTAAATTTCGTTTTAAACAATTAGAACTATTTATATTATGGATAAAATATTCATATTTTCATAAAAAAAAAAGTTTCTTTCATTCATAAATTGTAAAGTGTTATTACTCAAAAATAAAAAAAAAAATATTACTCTTAAATCCTACTTTTCAGTATATTTATGATTATTTTTTTCCTTTTTAAATCAAAAATATTAACTTATAGTAGGTATATTTGTTGTGCATTAAAACTTGCCGTAGAGGGATTAAATTTGCTTTACTAATATAAATACAAACTTGAATTTTCTGTATATTTCGTTCTTATAAAATAAAATAATGATATTTGGTTCAACATTCTTATCAATTTATCGAATTTTGAATTAAAAAGTTTAGCAAAAAAAGTTGGCAACATGACACATACAATGACTAATGACCCCATTGAAGATCGTTAAAAAAGGCTAATAAAGATCTCATCATCTGCAAGAACCTTTTAATGACACAGATAAGCTTAAACAATACAAATCAATATTGTAAATAAAATAGCAATAGCAGTTTTTTTGGGGCAGTTTTTTGTACTATAAAGGACTTCGAAGAGTGAAAAACCTCTTGAAAATAAAATTAGTGCCACCTATCCAATTACCAAAATAAATCTAAAAACGCATGAAAATATAATTCTGATTATTGTATTAAAACAATTAACAAAAATATGATACTGTAATATTATTGGTGATTCCTCTAAGCACATTAAATAATAGGGAAGCATATATTACAGTATACATTATACAGCCCAGGATAATTTAAATTTATGTATTAAAACTTTTCAATGGGATTATTTATGCTTTTGATGTGTAAAAAAAAAACTGTAAAATTTCTATTGGTAATCACAAAAAAAAAACCAATATCATATTTTAGGACATACATTTAATGGAGCTAAGATCTAATTAGAAGTTAATGATTATCGATTAAATTCTCAAGCTCCCTCCCCCTCCTTAACCTTACAAATGAAATTCTTGGAGATCCATGAATCACTTATGGAAAATAATGTTCTAAGTGACATTTTTTACATCCACAATAAACGATATGTATAAATGTATTTTATACTATAATTAATTAGTATTATTATTTAATTTATATTATATTTGTTGTTTCTTATGCCATTTGGTCATGATAAAGGGTAAAAAATGCAGCATCTTTTTGTCGTTGACCTTGCGACACAAGGACATCAGACACACAAAAGGTGAAATATGACTTTACCACACCCGGGTGTACCACCTGGAACCAGTTTAGTCGCTTTTTGCTACATGCATGTACAGTAGGGCTATTCTAATTAGGACCCACACGGAAAAATATATTACATATTAAATTTGTATGATATATATTACAATAATTTATAATATGTATTATTGTATATGTATTATTAAATATGAAGCAATTTAATTTGTTTTACGTAATGTAAATTCCAACTTGAATTTTCTGTGTAGTTCTTTATTATAAAATAAAAAATACTAAATTGTGCTAGATGACTCAATCTTCTTATCAATTTATCGAATGTTCAATTAAAAAAATTTACAAAACAAAGTTGGCAACATGGCACATACAATGGCGCCATTAAATATTATTGAAAAAGTCTATAATAGATTGTAGTTAAGATTAATAGTAATATGGAATAGATTGTAGTCTATCTTTAATATTAATCTCATAAGCATTTTGTCTCAAAATTTGAATACAAAAAAAAATAAATTTTATCTTTGTTTTTATTCCTTATTACTGTTTATTTCTTATACTGAATCACAATTAAAAAGAAATAATTTCTGGAATAAATTTCAAATCGAATAAATGGGATTTTCTTAATACACCTGAAACTCATTGTTTCGTCATGCCAGGAAGCAATCAAATCTGAGTCAGGAGCAGTGTACGGCACGGATGGGGCATCAATTCTTTATGATAATGAGCGAGTCCTATGGCAGCGACATATCTCAAGTGTAACAATACCGCAGAAGGACGTAATCATTTAACACCTGGGTGCATTATAGATTTTGGATTTCCTGCCGGGAATAGGTAAAGGTTCTATTGATTTGGGTCGGGCAATGGTCTCGGTAGAGGCATGAGTATTATTCGAGAAATTAGAGAACCGGTTCTGTAACAGATATTCTGCTTACAGACCAAAACCTAGAAGAATCATTGAAATTAAATTTTTCAGATTTCAAGAAGATTTATGTCAAAAACTTAATGGTAAAATAAAATCGAGTGATACTAAAATCCAAACTCATTCTTATCACTTTTTAAATAGCATATTATAAAAGTTATAAGTTATAAGGTGTTATAAGGTTAAAAGGTGCTAAAGTTATAAGGTGCTTTTTTAAGTTATAAATTTTGTTAATTATTTTAAAAATGAGGACATTACAAATATTTATATCAGTGATATCTATTCACAGTTGGTAATACAGAAAATGTTAGCCATACTTTCGACTCAGACATATGTGGACTCAGTCAGTATGAGCTAGCAGGAAGGGGAAGATTTGATTTTCACTCGTAATGCATTGTATAGTCGTTACTTTTATAATGAATAATCCTAGTGTATATTGTTATATGCCTTATCAGATAGGTAGGTGAGTAGTATAGTTAGAATTTCTCTATTTTCTTTCAAAATGTCACATAACTGATAGATATTCCTCAGAATTCCTCTTTTACTTTTAAATGTGGTTTGACACTAACTATTAAAATTGCATACAATAGCTCATTTCAACCTTATTTCCTACATTTTCCGAATTCGAATTGACTGCTATCCTATGCCGTTTGAATATAAGAGTGGATTTTAAGGGTATCCTAGTGTATATTGTTATATGCCTTATCAAATTGGTAGGTGAGTAGTATAGTTAGAATTTCTCTATTTTCTTTCAAAATGTCACATAACTGATAGATATTCCTCAGAATTCCTCTTTTACTTTTAAATGTGGTTTGACACTAACTATTAAAATTGCATACAATAGCTCATTTCAACCTTATTTCCTACATTTTCCGAATTCGAATTGACTGCTATCCTATGCCGTTTGAATATAAGAGTGGATTTTAAGGGTATCCTAGTGTATATTGCTATATGCCTTATCAGATTGGTAGGTGAATAGTATAGTTAGAATTTCTCTATTTTCTTTCAAAACGTCACATAAATACTAGATACACCTCAGAATTCCTCTTTTACTTTTAAATGTGGTTTGACACTAACTATTAAAATTTCATACAATAGCTCATTTCAACCTTATTTCCTACATTTTCCGAATTCGAATTGACTGTTGTCGTACGTCGTTTGAATATAAGAGTGAATTTTAAGGGTGGACTGACTGAACTGGCGAACTGATTTTAAGGGAAATCCATCCTTAAAGTCATATTTCCATCAGAACTGAAAATTCCAAGGAAGTGCGAAAATTTAACAGATTTTTCTCATCGATGTGGTTTATTAACTTTTACTACCACATTAAAACGCATTCTAAGTTTCCTACTACTACTACAAAATACTATAGTCATATAATTAAAATATTTAATTTTTTCGTCTATCCTTTTAGTTTTGCATTTCATTAAGATACAAACGATGTTTCAGTAACCATAATTTTCTTACTATATTTATATTAGAAATAATGTTTATAGATAAATCTATTAAGTAGCTTTTTAATTATTTTGATATTTAAAATGCCACTGAAAATTCACAGCATATATTGGTTTAAATTTGTATCTAACGAATAGATACAGTAATTATATTACCAAATTCTAATGCCATGATAGTAATCAATACAACGGACGCCCTTCTTGTAATTAAATATTTTAACTTCCTAACTGAGTAATTATACTATTATAATTTGGGAAAATAAAATATTTGATACAAGATACAAAAGAAAGACGGTTTCGCATCCAACGAAGCAAATATTAATTAAACCTTCAGTCAGACATGATATTTCGACTGTAATAAGATAAATTAATGTTTATGTCTAGATGTTCAATCCTGATAAATGTCTTAGTTCGAATATTTAATATTTAAATTATTTTTTACTTTAACGATAACCATTATATGCCATAGAATAATGGTAAAATTTTAATGATTGTTATAAAAAAAAGAAGAAAGAGTAAATTATCCCAAGACTAGTTAATTAAATAAGCGAAAGTGTTTATTTTAAATTACTTGGAATAAATAATTGAAGAAATATAGGGCGATTATAATTAGGGTCTCAGTTTCAAAATGCTGTAAAAAAAGAAATACTCGTCACAATGAGTTCAAAGTTGAACGGAAGATATTTGAAGAAGGGGAAAACTGTACGACATATAAAAAATAGTTCCAAAGTATGTTAATAGATGGCACTGTAAGAGGCATAACGAAATTGAATTCGGCTGCTAGTGATATTTTGAATCGAAATTATAACGCATTTGGTATGAGTTTCACATTATACCAATTGTTGTGTTATTTCTTT